GATATCTCCCTAAGAGACAGGGGACTGAGAGATACCAGTCAGTGTACGGATATCTCCCTAAGAGACAGGGGACTGAGTGACACCAGTCAGTGTATAGACATCTCCCTGAGAGAGAGGGGACTGAGAGACACCAGTCAGTGTACAGATATCTCCCTGAGAGAGAGGGGACTGAGAAACACCAGTCAGTGAACAGATATCTCACTGAAAGAGAGACGGGGACTGAGAGACACCAGTTATAGAACCATAGAGCTGTACAACACAGAACAGACTCTTTGGTCCAACCCATCCATGCCGACCACATATTCTAAATTAACCTAGATTTATGTGGGATACCTCGTCGGCATGGACAAGTTGGAGCGAAGGGTCTGTTTCCCCCTGAGCGTCGGAGGCTGAGGGGTGACCTTATTGAGGTTTACAAAATCATGAGGGTCATCATGAGCAGCTGAGGTTTTTTTCCCTGGAGTGGGGGAGTCCAAAGCTAGAAGGCATAGGTTTAAGCTGAGAGGGGAAAGATTTAAAAGGGATCTAAGGGGCAACTTTTCATGCAGAGGCTGGTGCATGTGTGGCATGAGCTGTTAGAGGAAGTGGTGGAAGCTGGTACATTTCCAACATTTAAAAGGCTCTCATCCATGACCCTCATGATTTTGTAAACCTCAGTAAGGTCACCCCTCAGCCTCCGACACCCAGGGGGAAACAGCCCCTTTGGTCCAACTTGTCCATGCCGACGAGGTATCCCACATAAATCTAGTCCCATTTGCCAGCATTTGGCCCATATCCCTCTAAACCCTTCCTATGCAAATACCAATCCAGATGCCTTTTAAATGTTGTAATTGTACCAGCCTCCACCACTTCCTCTGGCAGTTCATTCCACACATGCACCACCCACTGCGTGAAAAAGTTGACCCTTTGGTTCCTGTTATATCTTTCCCCTCTCACCTTAAACCTATGCCCTCTAGTTTTGTACTTCCCCACCCTGGGGAAAAGACCTTGGCCACTCATCCTATCCATGACCCTCATGATTTTATAAACCTCGATAAGGTCACCCCTCAGCCTCTGACCCTCCAGGGAAAACAGCCCCAGCCTATTCAGCCTCTCCCCACAGCTCGAAGCCTCCAACCCTGGCATCATCTTTGTAAATCTTTTCTGAACCCTTCCAAATTTTATAACATTCTTCCATGGCACAGAGACCAGAACCGCATGCAGTAATCCAAAAATGCCCTAACCAATGTCTTATACAGCCACAACATGACTCCCAACTCCTATATACTGCATGCACTGACCAATAAAGGCAAGCATACCAAACGCCTTCCTCACTCTTCTGTCAACCTGGGACTTCTCTTCCTGAGAGAGAGATGGGGTACTGAGAGATACCAGTCAGTGTACATATATCTATCTGACAGACAGGGGATTGAGAGCCTGTAGTCAGTGTACAGATATCTTGCTGAGAAAGAGGAGACTGGGAGACACCAGTAAGTGTACAGACATCTCTCTCAGGGTGAGGGTCTGTGAAACATGAGGGAGTGTGACTGTTCTGAGACTAATGAGATTTTGTACTGTGTGATTGTGCTGAGATTAGTGACTGATGGTATTTAATACTGGGTGACTGTGCTGGAGTTAACGATGACTGAATATAATGTATGCTTCTTAGCTAAGACTCTCATGTGTTACAGGTGTCCTCTCAGAAGAACAGATCCGCCTGAAGAAAATGAAGAAGCTAGAGGAAGAGGTGACAAAAACTGTGAGGGTGACCTCAAGCCCGCTGTCCAGCTGGGGAATACCAAGACTTGATGTGGGCCAAATTGAGATGATCAGAAAGCTGGTTGCTGCTCAACAACAGTGTAACAAGCGTTCATTCAGTGACCGACTGAAAGTGACAGTAAGTGTTCAGAGAACTCATTGGTCAAGAATAGAATGGAGCAATTTTTCACACTTTTTGTATAGGCCTTTATTTGTAAAGGTAGATTTTACAAGCATACATCTCTTAATCCCACAGCCAAATATTAATCCCCAAGTAATTTCCACTATTTGCAAATTATAATGTACTTCCCACAGATTCCAATTTCTCCTTATATTAAAAAATAGAGTTTATGTGTACAACTAGAATTTCAAAACTAATTACATTTGAAACCACCATATTCTGTTTAAATATTGCATTGGAAACCTCCCTTCCCATAGAGTTCAGAACAATTCTATTTTTCCAGCCATTTGTTTTGGTAAAACATTCAGACAGTTGATGACTCACATCAATCCATTTATATTTTAAAAATTTCCTTTCTCTTCAGTATTTGTTCGAGGAAACCAGGTCAATGCACACCTTTTGCTTTCTTTCACTTTTCAGAGAGTGTACATTGTCACTGACTAATCTCACCCTTATTCCATCCTTTAAATTTGATTAATTCATTAATTCATCTTAATCCACAATATTGGCATCTATCTGACAATGTGGGAAATTGCACGCAAAAACGCAGGACAAATCCAACCTGGCCAATTACCGCCCCATCAGTCCACTCTCGGTCATCAGTAAAGTGATGGAAGGTGTCATCAACAGTGCCATCAAGCAGCACCTGCTCAGAAATAACCTGCTCAGTGACGCCCAGTTTGGATTCTGCCAGGGCCACTCAGCTCCTGACCTCATTACAGCCTTGGTTCAAACATGGACAAAAGCTTAGATTTGGATAATTGCAAGGGACTGCATTTTGGTAAAACAAACAAGGGCAGGACTTATACAATTAATGATAGTGATCTGGGTAGTGTTTTAGAACAGAGAGACCTAGGGGTTCAGATACATAATTCTTTGAAATTTGTGTCGCAGGTAGACAGAATGGTAAAGTAGGCGTTTAGCATGCTTGCCTTCATTGCTCAGACCTTTGAGTATAGGAGTTGGGACATCATGTTGAGGTTGTACAGGATATTGATGAAGCCTCTTCTAGACGACTGTGTGCAGTTCTGGTCACCCGGTTATGGGAAGGACATTATTAAACTGGAGAGGGTTCAGAACCGATTTACCACGATATTGCTGGGAATGGGAGGTTTGAGTTATAAAAATAGGCTGGGACTTTTTTCACTGGAGTGTAGGAGATTGAGGGGTAACCTTATAAAGGTTTATAAAATCATGAAGGGTATGGATTAGGTGAATAGCAAAGGTCTTTTTCCTTGGGTGGGGGAGTTCAAACTTAGAAGACATTTTTATGGTGAGAAGAGAAAGTTTTAAAAAGGACATGGGCAAATTTTTTTACACAGGGCGTGGTTAGTGTGTGGAATGAACTGCCAGAAGAAGTAATGGATGCATGTATAGTTACAATATTTAACAACATTTGGATAAATTCATGAAGTAGAAAGGTTTGGAGGGCCAATCACTGGCAAATGAGACTAGTTTAGTTTGAGAACATGATCCATGTGGACTAGTTGGACTGAAGGGTCTGTTTTCATGCTGTATGACGCTATGGCTCTAAAATTGAAATCAATGGGAATTAGGGGGAAACTCTCTGTCACTTTGCATACCCGGCACATAGGACGATGGTTGTGGTTTTTGTTGCTCAGTTATTTCAGCTCCAGGGCATCTCTGCCGGAGTTCTTCAGGATAATGTCCTAGGCCCAACCATCTTCAGCTGCTACCCTCCATCATAAGGTTAGAAGTGGGGATGTTCACCGATGATTGTACAATGTTCAGCACCATTCGTGACTCCTCAGATACTGAAGCAGTCCATGTCCAAACACAACAAGGTCTGGACAATATCAAGGCCTGGGCTGACAAGCGACATTCTCAAAACAAAAATGCCAGGCAATGACCATCTTCATCAAGAGGCAGCAGCAGTGGGAACACAGCATAGTGGAGCGAACCTGCGTGTGAACAGTAACAGGAGCTATCAGATAAACAGCTAAGGAGTGGGTTCAGTCAGAGCGGGACTGAGGTCAATCAGGGCGGGACTGATGGCAGTCAGCGGTGGAACTGGGATCAGTTAGAGTGACAGTGGGAACAGAGCTGAATCTAGGGGCACAGCTCTGTAGGTGATGTTACAACTTGAAAAGTAGTGTAGTATAGACTGCTCAGGAACCAGATCTAGAGACTGAGTGAGTCACATCAGGAGGAAGATAGAGTACTTACTTTTGTCATTGTAGTTTGTTAGGATTAGAGCGAGAATGAGAAATCTGATTTTGGTGAGTAGTGGGTACGGTTGTATAATTGAGGAGTATAAAGGAAACAGAAAAGAACTTAAAAAGAAACAAGGAGGACTAGAAGGCATCATGAAATGCCCTTGGCAAGTAGGATTAAGGAGAATCCCAAGGCATTTTATATGTATATTAGGAGCAAGAGGGTAACTGGAAAAAGGGTAGATCAACTCAAGGATAAACGAAATAATTTATATGTGGAACCAGAGGAAGTGGGTGGGTCCTTAATGAGTTTGCATTGATATTCACCAAGGAGAAAGACATGGATGTTAACTAAATTTAGAGAGGGGTTTGTTCATACTCTAAGGCATGTCGATATTAAGAAGGAGGAGGTGTTCGGTGTCGTGAAAACATTAAGGTAGATTTGTCCCTAGGGCCTGATGGGATCTATCCCAGGATAGTGAAGGAAACAAGGGTGGAAGTTGCTGAGGCCTTGACACAGATCTTTGTATCCTCTTTAGCCACAGGTAAAATCCCAGAAGTCTGGAGAATAGCCAATGTTGTTCCTTTTTTCAAGAAGGGCAACAGAGATAATCCAGGAAATTATAGGCCAGTGAGTCTTACATCAGTGGCAATGAAATTATTGGAGGAAGTTCTCAAGGACAAGATTTACTTGCATTTGAGTAGAATGGACTTATTAGGGACAGTCAGCAGGGCTTTGTGCAGGGGTGTCCCGTCTCACAAATTTCATTGAATTTTTTGAGGAATTGATGAAGATGATTGATGGATGGAGGGCAGTGAACGTTGTCTACATAGGCTTTGCTAAAGCATCTGACAAGGTCAGTCATGGTAGGCTTGTCCAAAACATCAGATTGCAAGGAATCCATAGTGAGTTGGCAAGTTGGACACAAAATTGGTTTGGTCATAGAAGACAGGTAGTTGTGGAGGCATGTTTTTCTGACTGGAGGTGTGTGACCAGTGGTGTCTGCAAGGATCAGTGCTGGGACCTCTGTTGTTTGTCATTTATAAAAATGACTTGGGTGAAAATGTCTGTGGTCTGATTGGAAAGTTTGCAGATGATAAGAAAATTGGTGGAGTTGTGGATTGTGAGGACGGATTTCAAAGGATGCAGCAGGATGTAGCACAGCTTCAAAGTTACGTGGAGAAATAGCAGATGGAATTTAATCCAGACAAGTGGGAGGTCAAGTCCAAAAGGAAAGTACACTGTAAATGGCTAGCTCCTTCAGAGTATTAATGTACAGGGGAATCTTAGGGTGCAAGTCTACAGCTCGCTGAAATTGGCAGCACAAGTGGACAAGGTGGTAAAGAAGGCAAAGAACAAAAAACAAAGAAAATTACAGCACAGGAACAGGCCCTTCGGCCCTCCAAGCCTGCGCCAATCCAGATCCTCTATCTAAACCTGTCACCTATTTTCCAAGGATCTGTATCCCTCTGCTCCCTGCTCATTCATGTATCTGTCTAGATACATCTTAAATGATGCTATCGAGCCCGCCTCTACCACATCCGCTGGCAACGCGTTCCAAGCACCCACCGCCCTCTGCGTAAAGAACTTTCCACACATATCTCCCTTAAACTTTACCCCTCTCACCTTGAAACCGTGACCCCTAGTAATTGAGTCCCCCACTCTCGGAAAAAGCTTCTTGCTATCCACCCTGTCTATACCTCTCATGATTTTGTAGACCTCAATCAGGTCCCCCCTCAACCTCCATCTTTCTAATGTAAATAATCCTAATCTACTCAACATCTCTTCATAGCTAGCGCCCTCCATACCAGGCAACATTCTGGTGAATCTCCTCTGCACCCTCTCCAAAGCATCCACATCCTTTTGGTAATGTGGCGACCAGAACTGTACACAGTATTCCAAATGTGGTCGAACCAAAGTCCTATACATGACCTGCCAACTCTTGTACTCAATACCCCGTCCAATGAATGAAAGCATGCCGTATGCCTTCTTGACCACTCTATACACCTGCGTTGCCACCTTCAGGTTACAATGGACCTGAACACCCAGATCTCTCTGTGCATCAATTTACCCCAGGGCTTTTCCATTTACCGTATACTTCGCTCTTGAATTGGATCTTCCAAAATGCATCACCTTGCATTTGCCTGGCTTGAACTCCATCTGCCATTTCTCCACCCAACTCTCCAATCTATCTATATTCTGCTGCATTCTCCGACAGTCCCCTTCACTATCTGCTATTCCACCAATCTTAGTGTCATCTGCAAACTTGCTAAACAGACCATCTATACCTTCCTCCAGATCATTTATATATATCACAAACTATAGTGGTCCCAACACGGATCCCTGTGGAACACCACTGGTCACAGTTCTCCATTTTGAGAAACTCCCTTCCACTACAACTCTCTGTCTCCTGTTGCCCAGCCAGTTCTCTATCCATCTAGCTAATACACCCTGGACTCCATGCGACTTCACTTTCTCCATCAGCCTACCATGGGGAACCTTATCAAACGCCTTACTGAAGTCCATGTATATGACATCCACAGCCCTTCCCTCACCTATCAACTTTGTCACTTTCTCAAAGAATTCTATCAAGTTGGTAAGACATGACCTTCCCTGCACAAAACCATGCTGCCTATCACTAATAAGCCCATTTTCTTCCAAATGTAAACAGATCCTATCCCTCAGTATCTTCTCCAGCAGCTTCCCCACCACTGACGTCAGGCTCACTGGTCTATAATTACCTGGATTATCCTTGCTACCCTTCTTAAACAAGGGGACAACATTAGCAATTTTCCAGTCCTCCAAGGATGCTGCAAAGATATCTATTAAGGCCCCAGCTATTTCCTCTCTCGCTCCCCTCAGTAACCTGGGATAGATCACATCCAGACCTGGGGACTTGTCCACCCTAATGCCTTTTAGAATACCCAACACTTCCCCCCCTCCTTATGCCGACTTGACCTAGAGTAATCAAACACCTATCCCTAACCTCAACATCCGTCATGTCCCTCTCCTCAGTGAATACCGACACAAAGTACTCATTAAGAATCTCACTCATTTTCTCTGACTCCTCACATAACTTCCCTCCTCTGTCCTTGAGTGGTCCAACCCTTTCTCTAGTTACTCTCTTGCTCCTCATGTACGAATAAAAGGCTTTGGGATTTTCCTTAACCCTGTTTGCCAAAGATATTTCATGATCCCTTTTAACTCCTCATTTCAGATTGGTCCTACTTTCCCGATATTCTTCCAAAGCTTCATCTGTGTTCAGTCACCTCGACCTTATGTATGCTTCCTTTTTCCTCTTTGCTAGTCTCACAATTTCACCTGTCATCCATGGTTCCCTAATCTTGTCCTTTCTATCCCTCATTTTCACAGGGACATGTCTGTCCTGCACTCTAATCAACCTCTCTTTAAAAGCCTCCCACATATCAAACGTGGATTTACCCTCAAACAGCTGCTCCCAATCCACATTCCCCAGCTCCTTCCGAATTTTGCTATAGTTGGCCGTCCCCCAATTCAGCACTCTTCCTTTAGGACCACTCTCGTCTTTGTCCATGAGTATTCTAAAATTTACAGAATTGTGATCACTATTCCCAAAGTAATCCCCTACTGAAACTTCAACCACCTGGCCGGGCTCATTCCCCAATACCAGGTCCAGTATGGCCCCTTCCCAAATTGGACTATTTACATACTGCTCTAGAAAACCCTCCTGGATGCTCCTTACAAATTCTGCTCCATCTAAACCCCTAACACGAAGTGAATCCCAGTCAATGTTGGGAAAATTAAAATCTCCCATCACCACCACCCTGTTGCTCCTAGATCTTTCCATAATCTATCTACATAGTTGTACCTCTATCTCACGCTCGCTGTTGGGAGGCCTGTAGTACAGCCTCAACATTGTTACCGTACCCTTCCTATTTCTCAGCTCGGCCCATATTGCCCTCCTTCAGCACAGCTGTGATATCCTCTTTGACCAGTAATGCAACTCCTCCACCCCTTTTATCTCCCTCTCTATCCCGCCTGAAGCATCTATATCCTGGGATATTTAGTTGCCAATCTTGCCCTTCCCTCAACCAAGTCTCAGTAATAGCAATAACATCATCCTCCCATGTACTAATCGAAGCCCTAAGTTCATCTGCCCTATCTACTACACTTCCCGCAATAAAACAAATGCACCTCAGACCACCTGTCCCTTTGCGTTCATCATCTGCTCTCTGCCTACTCTTCCCTTAGTCACACTGACTTCATTATCTAGTTCCTTACAGGCTTTAGTTACTACCTCCTTACTGTCCACTAACCTCCTCATTTGGTTCCCATCCCTCTGCCACATTAGTTTAAACCCTCCCCAACAGCATTAGCAAAAGCAGCCCCTAGGACATTGGTTCCTGTCCTGCCCAGGTGTAGACCGTCAGATTTGTAATAATCCCACCTGCCCCAGAACCGGTCCCAATGTCCCAAAAATCTGAACCTCTCCCTCCTGCACCATCTCTCAAGCCACTCATTTATCCTGCCTATTCTTTCATTTCTACTCTGACTAGCATTGCTTGCCTTCATTGGTTGTAGCATTGAGCACAAAAGTTGGCAAGTCATGTTGCAAAAATAAAAGACTTCAGTTGGGCCACATTTGGAACTGTGCACAGTTCTGATCGCCACATTATAGGAAGAATGTGGAGGCTTCGGAGACGGTGCAGAAGAAGTTTACCACAATGTTGCCTGGATTAGAGTGTCTTAGCTATAAGGAGAAGCTAGACAAACTTGAAACAAAAACAGAAATTGCTGGAAAAGCTCAGCACGTTTGGCAGCTTCTGTAGAGAGAAATCAGAGTTAACATTTCAGGTCGATTGACCCTTCTTCAGAACTAGATTGGTTTCGCTAGAACGTCAGAGGCCAAAGGGCAACCTGATTGGTGTATAAAATTACAACAGGCATGGATAAAATGGATTGTCGGAGTCATTTTCCCAGGATGGAAATGTCAAATACAAGGGGGCATAGGTTTAAGGTGAGAGAGGAAAAGTTTAAAGGAGATTTACGAAGCCCAAAATGCTCTGCCAGGGGTGATGGTAGAAGCAGATAGGATAGCAAAGTTTAAGAGACGTTTAGACAGACAAATGAACAGGCAGAGAATAGAGGGATACTTTGGAGGCAGAAGGGGTTAGTTTAGAATGACATCATGGTCAACACAGATATAGTCGGCTGAAGGGGTTGTTCCTGTGTTAAACTGTTCTGTTCACAGACAGAATCTCACCGTCTCCCCTTGACATTCAATGGCATTGCCATCACTGAATACCCCACTAACAACATCCCAGGGTTACCATTGACCAGTAACTGAACTGGTCTCGTTAGATATATATACAGTGGCTACAGCAGCATGTCAGAAACTGGGAATCCTGCACCGGGTAACTCATCTCTTGATGCCCCAAAGCCTGTCCATCATCTACAAGGTACAAATCAGGGATGTGGTGGAAAATTCCACACTTGCCTGGATGAGTGCAGCTCCAACAACACTCAGTGAGCTTAACATCTCCCAGGATGAAGTAACCAACTTGATTTGCATCACATTCTCAAACATTCACTCCCTCCACCACTGATGCTTTGTAGCAGTAATGTGTACCATTTATAAAAATTCACCAGGGGTCCTTAGACATGAGTTTCACTAGGATGATCCCCTGGATGAGCTATTGCCTTATCAACAAAGGTTAAACAGGTTGGAATTCTACTCTACTCACTGGAATTCAGAAGAATGAGCAGTGATTTCATTGAAATATACAGCATTCTTTGGGCTTGACAGGGTGAATGCTGACAGAATATTTCTTCTCATGGGGGAGTGCAGGACCAGAGGGGCATAGCCTCAGAATAAAGGAGTGCCAATTTAAGACTGAGATGAGGAGGAACTTCTTCTCTCAAAAGGTTGCTTGTCTTTGGAACTCCTTGCCAAAGAAAGCTGTCAGGGCAGAATCCTTGTGTATACTTAAGGCTGAGATTGATAGATACATTCTTGGTCAGTAGTGGAATGAAGGGTTACAGGGAAAGGCAGGAAAGTGGACACCAGGGATATTGGATCAGCCATGATTCTATTGAATGGCAGAGCAGTCTCAAGGAGCAAAACAGCCTACTCATGTTGCTATTTCTTATGGTCTTCCATACAAGGAGCTGCAAATACACAGGAACACCACCACCTGCAAATTCCCCTTCAAACCACTCCCGATCCTGACTTGGAAATATATCGCCGTTTTTCGCTGCCATTGGGTCAAAATCCTGGAACTTCCTCCATGCCCCTCAGCTAGCAGTTTCAAGTTTGAGTTCCACCCCAGGCCAAACAGGTCATGGATCAACCTGTAAACCCTTCCAACTCATGCCAATGTAGATGGTAAGAGTGGGAGAGATTCCTGGTCAGGTGTGTGTTGGAATTAAATTTGGAGCACCAACTAGCACAAATCATTGCTCCAGGCTGCATGTAAAAGTTTGTGTTCCTCAGATTCCCTGCATGAACAGTATCACAGGTCCCCCACTTCTTGTCTAGATTTAAATGTTTCATTTGCCTTTAAAATGTCCTTAGATTTAGGATGGTTCATCATCATCATTCTAACTTCAGCATATCAAAATTCCCATCTGGTATAATCTGTGTCCAGGCAGTTCAGCTGACGAACCTGACTTTCTTTATTCATCTGTCTCTTTAGACTAACATCATTTTTATTTGTCAGGGCTGAGCAAGATGAACTGGAATGGCAGCAATGTTTTTGCGTTTGGATTGTTGATTGCCAAGTTATTCCAAACTGATCTATTTAATAACTATAGCAAAGAATTATTGGTCAGTGCATTGACTGTAGGAGTTGGGAGGTCATGCCATGGCTGTACAGGACATTGGTTCGGCCTCTTTTGGAGTATTGTGTGCAATTCTGGTCTCCCTCCTATAGGAAGGATGTTGCAAAACTAGAAAGGGTTCAGAAAAGATTTATGAGGATGTTGCCTGGGTTGGAGGGTTTGTGCTTTAGGGAGAGGTTGAATAGGCTGGGGCTATTTTCCCTGGAGGGTCAGAGGCCGAGGGTGACCTTATAGAGTTTTATAAAATCATGAGGGTCATGGACAGGATAAGTAGACAAGGTCTTTTCTCAGGGGTGGGGAAGTCAGTTTTACGAAGGACCTGAAAAGGAAAAAGTGAGGTGAAGAGATGGAAGTCGTCACAAGGGAATTCCAGAACTTGAAGCCTAAGCAACCGAATGCACGGCTGAGAATGGTGGAGTAACTAAAATTGGGGATGCCTTAGGAGGCCAGAATGAGAGGAGTTTGAAATAACTCCACAGAGGCTGACATGTTGTCACCAAGTCACCCTTTATTTACATGTGGTGGGTCCTTGACCCTGATCTAGCTCCCTCAGAGCCTGCTCTCTCAGTGAGCAGGAAGTCTGACACTCCTGTTTATATCTGTCAGCCAGTGCTTCCTGATTAGACCAGATTAACAGCCCCAATCAGGGAACTCATACTCTATGAGGTCCACCTGACTGACCTCATTACAATCACACAGATACCTCTGAGGTTGTCTACCTAGAGGAGAGTAGATAGACAGCAAGGGGCTAAACTGTGAAGGGATTTGAAGAGAAAGATGTGAATTTTAAAATGAAGACTTTTCTTGAATGAGAACCAACATAGGTAAGCAAGTATAGGGGTGAGACAGGAAAGGGATTTGTCGTGTGTTAATTTTATGTTAACGTTAATTTTTTGGTAGGGAAAAAGAAATGCTAGCATTAAATTCTTTTTTCGATAAAACATTTAATAACATTAATTCATAATATTTCTCATAATTTTACTGTAGAAACCCATTCAAAATCATCAATATTCATCATGAAGATCCCTGATTATGTTCTTTCATGACATAAATTATCAGGATCTGATTTTAGTTAAACACAGTCGTGAGTCAGCAATTCCAATTTCATTGTAGAAAGCATCATTCAGTCCTTAAGTGCTTCATTTCACGGTTTTCCTTCTGCATCTACTCCCAGTTTGGGTAATTATGGAAACACTTCTGTCTCAAAAGTATCATGATACAGAAATGTAGTTTGTATGTCAACTGGCTGCGACTCTGCACAATAAATATCCAAAATAGCAGAAAGGTTTGCTAAAATATTAAGAGATAACAAGGTGTAGAGCTGGATGAACACAGCAGGCCAGGAAGCATCAGAGGAGCAGGAAAGCTGACATTTCGGGCCTAGACCCTTCTTCAGAAAT